ATAGAGTCAGTTGTTATAATAAAATGTAAAATGCTCGTACAATTGCTAGGCCGATTTTAATGAATTGTTTAATTTAGAGCTGAAAAAACTTATAATGATCCCTTTTATTATAGTTATTGCCTCATTGAGAAATTATTTTTAAACCCAATAAATAAATAAGCTCATTATTTGTGTTGAAAAAATTATTAGCAATAGGAAAAAACTTTAACTCTGCTACTACTAATATTTTATTAAATTTCGACGGAATAATATTATAGATTAAAACTAAAAAGAAACTAAAGTTTCTTTTAACTTAATTAAAAACATGAATAATTTCTATTTATACAACTACATGCTCTTCTGTTTTTGCTTTTTTCTTATTTCTGACAAAAACAGTTAATAAAAATGACGACAACTTATCCATGACTTCTTTTGCTTTTGTATTTTTTTCATCTTTGATAAACATAGCTGATATCACTAGCAACAATCCAAACGCAATTCCTGTCCTAAATGAGACACTTAACGACGATACAAGCTGTTGTTTCGTTTTTAATTTAGCAAACTCCGGAAGAATATGATAATTCTTAAGTGCCTGAGGAACGGCAACAGCTATTTTTATTTGATCCGAAAAACCGGATGCAAATACTGCAGCTACAATTCCTAAACCGAATACAGCACCGACTGTACAATAAAATAATAATTAGAAAAAAGGCAACAATGATCAGTAAAAAAGCTTTTTTCTACATTGAATTGTAGAATAAAGCTAAAGATAATAAAGGACTTACTAGTTCTGAAAAACGTTATCAAAGAAGTAACAGCCGCAACATCTTCATGTTTTACGGAAGCTTGACCAGCCAAAAATACTGTTTGTATGACAGCACCAGCTCCCAACCCGCTAATTAATAAATAACCAATTACTTGACCAAGAGTTGTATGCACATCAAATAAAGTTATTAATCCAGTACCAATAGTAGTCAATATACCACCAAATATACAAATTACTTTATACGAAATTATTTTTGTATGTGAAACTATGAATCCAGATAATAAAACTGTGATGACAGCACCCGCAATATAAGGAAGAAGTTTTAAACCAGACATAGTAGCTATAAGAAAAGAAATTTATGAATTTTCAAGGAGTTCAAGGAGTTTTGTGGGAATTCATTCGATATATTATTTATAAAATACCTGAATCTTCGTTGACAATTTCAAAGTATATCGGTAGAAAATATATTATCGAAAAGAATATCAAACCAAGGCAATAATTAACACAAAAGCAAGCAACTATACTACGATTTTTAAATAAATAACCTAAAAATGAAAGAACAATATTAGAAGTTTCTTTTTAATGAGTACTTTTTTTTTTAAGAAATACGTTTCAATTTTACCAGGGGCGAGAGGTTCAGGCGCAACAAATCCTTCCACGTATATAAATAAAGCCAAGATCACCACACCAACAACTAATAAAGAAATAACAATGGGAGAGTTCCAAGGATATGTAATACCACCCCAACTAAGAGGTAATAGAAATGCCATCATTGAACATGTAATCAGCAAAGAACCCAACCAATCAATGCGTTTAATCTTTTCGTAGAAAGAATCAGTAGTTCTTGACGATTTAAAAAAGAACAGAATACAAAACATCGATACTGCACCTATCGGTACATTGATATAAAATGCCCATCTACAAAAAAAAAA